CCCCCCCCTTCTCCCCCCTACCTTCCCCTTCCCTTTCCTTCTCTCATCCTCATCCACAACCCACATAAACAAAAATCACCTCCTTCAGGTCTTTCCCCTATTCCCCGATTCCCCGATTCCCCGATTCCCCAATTCCCCCTCAACCACCTAGCAACCCAAGAAACCCAACAATTCCCTCACCTACAACACAATCCCTCACCTTCATACTTCTACTTCTACTTCTAGAACAATCCCCCCCTTTCCACCCCCCAAAATCCCCAATCCCCTTAGCTTTCTTTCTTTCTTTCTTTCTCCCCCTCTCCCCCTTTCAAAAGGAAATTCCAACCAACACCAAACACCGAAAAACCCCAGAAATGATCACCACAAAAAAACGCTTATCCCAACCTCCTTCATCCTTCATCCACAACCCTTCCCTCTTAACTCCCTAATGCCTCCAAAACGAGAAAAAAACTCTTAACTCCACCCTTCCACCCTTCCAAGCCAACCCCCAAGTCAAACATCCAGGAGAAGATAGCCAAGGGAAAGAAAGAAAATGGTAAAATTGAATCGTCGAACCCCATGAAATATGAAACAAACATTCACGGGCACCAAGACCTCAAACTTCCCCAACAACCACCACCGTTGAACCACGGCCACCGCACGACTCAACAGTTCGCTAAATGGAAGTTAATTGTTATTTATAGCAAAAAGTCAACATTTCGGCATTAAAATCTTCTTTAGATTATTATTCTATGTACCTCGTTCCTTCAACTGGTGTATAGCTAGTTCCTCCCTGCCATGCAGGCCCCCCCTTGCCTCCAGATCAAAAAAAAACCGAGCGAGCTGGCAAGAGCCAAAATAGACAGAGCTCATCCTGCCCTCAAATGTGTTGTGTGTGAATGGAAGGCCAAAGTATCAATCAGATCAAGAAAATCCCTCCCAAAAATTGAGGCGACACACGCTGTATGCGTATGGTTTTTGTGAACAAAGGAAATAAAAAGGAAGCCCATAAAACATAGATGCGGCACGCCCCAGTGGTATTTTGATAATATGACTACAATTCATCTCCGATGCAATGCTTCCTGTGGTATTGTGGCGGCAGAATATGGAGTGACAATTTCGAAGAAAAGAAATGGCAATATTAAAAGTTTTGTGCTATGCCTGCACTTTGTTGTGGGAAGTGAGCGGGATTTTCTATACGTGTGTTCCTTCGGGCTGAAACATCGCGGATGACTGGTTGACCTGACATTTCTGCTCGCCCAGGTGGACTACCATATGCTGTGTCCCCATTGTAAGGGTTGCCAGCATCGTATTGGTTGTTGTAATATTGGCCTCCGTTGTAGCCGCCTTCACCAGATCCATCTGATCTACCTGCAGCACTGTATTGCGATGAAGCATTGGATGGTCCACGGTGAATCTCGCCTCTGTTGGCCCCTGCTGCTGGACCCATGGCACCCAACGCCTCATTTTCGTGGCCATTATCGCCCATTAACGCATTGTCGGATCGAGTGTCAGATAAGGGTCCTTGTGTTGGAGATGTGCCTTCCGAGTAAGCCAAACCGATCCCGTTTGGTGATTGTCCACCGGACACTGTCGTAGAGGCTTTTCGTCCCGTGGAAGAAACGGCTGTGGTAGTTCCCCATCCACGATATCCAGATGAGCCATCTTCGCGCATCTCGAATGCACCATCATTTCCTCCAGAGCCTCGTCCAACGGCAGGAAGTGTAGGGTCGTTGTTGGGGTTGTACCCATACTCCTCCACTTCCTTTCTCCTCATTTCCTCGGCATCCTTACGCGCCTTTCGTTTTCTCCAGAAGAACAGAGCAGCGAGAACCAGTAGTGTTACCGCGACAATTGGTACCACGACAGCAATTGCTACAGTACCCGCTTTGCCTGGTCCAGAACTCGAACCGCCTCTATTTCCATTTTGAAGCCCAGCAGTTCCTGAAGCCCCTAGCGAAGATGATGTACCCGTTCCACTCGAAGGCTGGGTTGTAGGAGCGGACCCCGGAGCGGTCGAGGTGATGATTACTGTAATTGGAGATGCACCTTCCGAACTCTGGATGATTGTACTAACAACGACCGACGGGCTTTCGGTGGTTTGTGGTGGATTGGTCGTTGGTTCATTTGTGGTTGCTGGCGGCTGACCTGTAGTTGTAGGCTGCTGTGGGGGTTGGGTCGTGGGTATTGTAGTGGTCTCTCGTTGTGTTTGGGTTGAGAGAGGTGGGTTACTTGGGGAGGTAGAGAGAGTAGTTTGGGGGGTAGAAGAGGTTGGTGGTTCTTGGGAAGTAGACGGGGCTGAGGTAGGACTGCTGTTAGCAATTGAACTTGACGAAGGGAGCTCAGCCGACGACGACGTAGGTCCAGCTGTCGTCGAGGCCACTGCTTCTTGAGTCTGAGAAGGCGGACCCGAACTCGAGGCAATCGTACTTGTATTATTATTGGAAGACATCGTGAATTGCCGCACCAGCAGAGTTGGTAGCGGCGGACGTCTAGGGTTGGGCATGTTAGTTTTTGAAGCCCTTGATAATACAAATGCGCCAGCGCAGTTTAACATGAAGGAGACATGACGATGAAGGGAGTGGTCACGCTCAACATGTTGGAATCCGCGTACCTTGATTTTGGGCTGAATCACCCGGATGATGTACTCGTCTACTCGTCTGGTTCGTGTGCGCTGTGGATGGGGGATGGGGGAAGGGGGAGTGTTTCGATTGTTTCGAAATGGATTGGCCAACGTCTGATAATTGGGCACGTCGCTCGCAGCTGGTGCAGGAGCGGGTCGAGCGATGCACCAAGAAAAATTGGAGAAGGGCGCGGGCGGAAAATCAAACGGTGTCCAGACGGCAATCGAATGCGTCCTTGACCGATAAATGCAGAAGAGTCGAATTCGAGTCGACGGAAGATGTGTGGGAGGGAGTAGTGAGGGTGGAAGGGAAGGGACCGAAGGTCGAAGGGTGACGAGGGAGAAGCAGAGGCTCGAGGTCTCGTGTGGCAGAGGCGTGGGAATCAGGCTTTGTGCTGGTGAGGGCGAGGAGGGATGTGGGTGCAGGTGCAGGTGCAGGTGCTGGTGGATGCTCCTTTTGGGCAGGAGCAGGGCACTGGCAGCGACTGGCAGGCAAAATGAGTGGCAGCGGGAGGAGAGCCAATCAGCGCAGCCGCTCGGGCGCACGACAGGCTGTGCGCTGCAGCCAGAAATGAGCTGAGACAGGGAGCAGCTCGTGGTGTTTCCTCTGCTTTTCTGAACCTGGGGAGCCTGGGGCACTCGCTGAACACGCTGGAGCTCGCACGCTGGACCACTGCTGGAGGAACCTGGCTTTGGCCCTCGTCGTTCAGGATGGGACCCGGGTCAGGCTGGGCGCCGTGGCAGCACGCACCCAAGTGGAGGAGAACACCTGGAAGATTGGATGACGGAACAAGGTTCGGGCTGCGAATTGGTGCAACTGACTCCACTGTCGACGTCTTTGCGAAAAAACTCGAGCTCCCTTGCGTTTGCGTGGAGAATTGAAACGGCCTTGATTGGATTGAGGGCGGTGGGGTGAAGCTATCTCGACACGACAATCGAAGAGTGATGATGATGATGATGATGATGATGTTTGTGAAGGAGGGAAGAATGGGAAGAGTGGAAAAAGTTGGAGTTGGCAGATTCCTCGTCGTTAGAAGCGAAGAGTAATCAATCCAGTACCAGTCAGTAGTAATACGGCCGATGCTCGGAATTGGGAAGGGCTGGCCTTTCCTAGCTACTTCCTGGCTACTTTTGCCGTGGTAGACTAGTAGAGTTGGGCAGTACGGTAGCTACTTCGGGTGAGGTATGCTCCACGAATGGCGTAGTCCGTAATCTACATGTACCTGGATTAGTACGGCTCGTGTATGTATGGTCCGGTACGAGTACGCAGATGCCGTTTACGCGGGAAATCGTCCTCGTCTCTGCCTCGATTCTCGAATTTTTGAGCGGTTGTCGGTGAAATACTCGTCTGGTCTGAGAAGAGCCCAAAAAATTCGATTCAATGGAATAAGTTGAGGTTACCACTCTGGTGGATTCTTTGTCACAAATAGAGGTCGCTTAACACTCGACAGCGCCTCAAAGAAAGCCAGTACGTATGAACGCCAGAGGCAAACCACTAGCGGCACTACTGCCACCACTCATTGGCGCTTACCTGCAAGGGCGAACGCGAAGGCTTTGATGTTTAGAGGCTGTGTACTCACGCTGTTACTCGTATCACATCATCCATCCCATCTCGGCCATACAAACTACTCTTCCAGACGAGTCGCTGAACCGTCGCAACGTTGCCGTTGGATCCATTCTAAAAATACATCGGTTATAACCTACACCTCCTCCGAATTTCACCATTCGCGTCGTGTAATTCCTCGGTGCGTCGAGTGGGCTTCAGCCCTAACTTTGCTCGATATCGATGGATCCCTATCGTAACATTGATTGGCCAGGGCCCGAAATCCGACAACACCACGTCTGGCCAGTCCAGTCCCAAACAAAAACAACAATCCAGAAAGACATTCCTACGCCACCAATTGAGTTCCTGAACACGTGCGACACTGAAACAATTCCCCAACTAATTTCACCATGGCAAATCTCGATTTTCTTTCAATTGCCCTCTTCTCAGACTGATCATACCATCCATGTACTAGTGTAAGAGCTTGATATTAATGTGATAGACCCGAAAGAGGCGAACTGGAGGCTTAGAAGTATATTTCAATTTGAATTTGCCCTGCATGCAGCATACAGCAAAATAACCCATACGCACAGGACCAGGAATCTCAAGGGCAATTAATACTCAACTGCCGGTTCTAATACCGGTACCTATCACCACTATATCATTACTAATAAAGCTATCATCAAACTCACCTCCTCCTATAATTCCCTACTAACCCGTTAGGATTATCGTCTATAATCCGTACTTTAGACCACTATATAACCCCCAAAACCTCGACGTAAATACTTAGGCAACAACCATTTCATATCTATATCTACATATATCAATCCCGGTAGCCGATAGCTAGCTAAGTAGTAGGTAGATATCCGAACACGTCCCAAAAAAAGAAGTTTCAAAAGGTTAACATTATCCCGAAAAAACCTTGGACTTCTGCCTCTCATCTCCTACAGGGAGTACCCCTTCGTACTATTTATTCCCGGAACTAACTTTACGAAGTACAAGTATACGAAGTAGTAGCCTCTATGGGGTAAATGACGGGTTTGGGATTCATTTGTTGGAGATAGAATGGTTGACTTGTACTTATATAAAGGTACTATGGCTCGTTATAGGTAGGTAGAGCGTAGATAGGATTATTATAAGGTTGTAGGTGTAGAGGACGTATATAAGGAGGTACCTAGGTATATTATTACTATATTCAGGAATTGAAATGTGATTTTTTTTATATGTGTATTTAGGAGTGCTTTGTACTTATGGGATTAGTATTACTAGGTAAGACTTAGTATTAGGGATGTTAGTTCTAGTAGATTTCACTTCGTGCGAACTTCACTTATTGTGAATATTACTTGTAGTAAGTTTTACTTCTTATAGATTTCATTTACGGGTTTTACTTACTATCATAGTATTACTAATTTTATTTTCTGTAGATTTCACTTGATACGAATTTCACTTCTTATGAATTTTATTTACCTCCTGCTAATTTCACTCCCTCTAGAGCTCACTTCTTTTAAGGATCACTACTTTCAAGGATCACTTCCTATAAAATTCTTTCCCTCGAATTTCACTTCCTCTAGATTTCACTTTTACTAAAACTCGCTTAGTAAATTTGGTTCTCTTAGAGAAAGAGTATGTAGATAATGACCGATTATATTAATAACCATTAGCCTAACTTGTCCCAAAGGACGTCTATAACTGCTTGTTTCTACTACAAATATACCCCTTAATTATAAGTTTTAGATACCTACCCCTGGATTTCACCTTTTCTAGATTTCACTTTTTCCAGATTTCGGTCTTTATAAACTTCACTTTTCTAAATCTCTCTTCTATCAGATTTCACTTTTTATAAAACGTACCTTCCTAAATTTCCCCTTCTATTCATTATAACAGCACATCAAAACAATCCTCTCCCACCACCCCCCTATTCCACCCCATGATCAACCACCATCCCCTCCACCCCCCTCTCAATAACCCCCGGTCCAGCCCTCTCAAACTCAAACTCCAAATCCGGCTGCATCTCAGCATACAACGCATGTTTCTCACTCGCCATCCGAAAATTAAACGCCGCCTCCTCATCACTAATAAGACACTTCTCTAGATCCGGATTGCCCGCCTTCGCAGCCTCAATCTGCAGTTGGATAGCACATCCCCTATCTAGCAAGCCAAACAAGAAACCCGCTTCATCGACCGTCGAGCCCGTAGACAGAAGGCCGTGGTTCAGCAGAATGGCGACTTTATTCTTGGTCCCCAGAGATGCGGCGATGTTCTTGCCCTCATCGGCAGCGAAGACGATACCACCGTAGGACGAGTAAACAGCGATGCTATCATACAACGTACAGAGATCTTGACAAGTCATCTCGATATTTCGATTGAAAGCTGACCAGGCTCTTCCCGCATTGGTGTGTGCATGACATACCGCATGGACATCCGGACGCGCCTTATGGATTTCCGAATGGATCAAGAAACCAGCTGCGTTGGCGGGCTTGGTTTTATTCCCTCCGACGACTTTTCCGTTGCGCACGTCGAGACAGATTAGATCTCCTGCTGTCATGAGTCCGAAGTGTTTTCCGAGGGGATTCATCCAGATGTAGTGTTCGAATTCGGGGTCGCGGACCGAGATGTGGCCGGACATTCCTTCTGTGAAGCCTTTGCGGGCGAAATCGCGGAAGACGGCTGCGGTGTGGATGAGGATGTGGCGACGTTCTTCTGATGGGATGGAGAAGGTTGGGATGCCTTTGTTTGTCTGTTAGTAAGGAGGATAACAAAATAACGTGATTAATAGATATAGTTCTTAGATGGAAACTTGGGGGGACTGAAAATAGAAAGGGCAGAAAAAGTGATGGAGAATCTACTCAGTATAACAGCAAAGAAAGAAACTCCAAAGAATCCCAAGTTCTATATCAAACCGAGTCCCAAAATCCGACTTCTTAAGCTGGCCTCAAACAAATACGCAATGAACCAGAAGCATTTTCAACATCCCCATCAACATATACAAGGCCAAAACATCAAGAATTCCTCATAACAGAGCCGTTTCAATTCCAAAGTATCAAAAACAAATAAATCACAAAAAAGACAGAAACGAAAACAAAGAGAATCCCCCTCCAAAACTCACCAGGAAAAACCAATGGCCCATGACTTATAGCCTCAAGCGGAGTCTGATCCAACCCCTTCGAAACATCGACCTTCTTCTCCGGATTAACCACCACCTCCGTTACAGAAGTTGCCGATGGTGCCATTTCTTCTTGTCTTATGTCTACGCCTCTCTTTTCCTATTTCCTTGTTCTTGTTATCGTCCACAGTACCCAAAAGTTTTCCTCTCTCTTAAAAAATAATCAAGTAGCGGAATATCCTCTTCCCTCCCTAGAACAGGAAAACCTTTTATATACCACAAAAAAGGTGAAAAAAGAAGGTGGGATACACAACATCAACCAAACTCAAAAAATCTGAGGTGAGATAAGCACACGCCGATGCCGTCTAGCGGCCAGACTAAGGGGTTGAGTGGCCCGCGGTGGGGCGGTTTTTAGGTTGGTGGGTTCAAGAATGGGGGAGGTGGGTTCTTATTGGTCGGTTTCTTTGGGGGACTTTTGTCGGAGTTTTAAGGTGGAATTTGGGGATGGAGATTCATAGGATTGATGATGTTGGGGTTGTGGTTGTTGGTTTGTTGGAGATGTACTTGGATGATATGGGGAAATGCGTTTGAAGTGGTAGGGACTTGTTGCTGTGGTCTTAACAAATACTAACTCCTTGCCGCGAAACCTGTGAGTACGCGATGGGGGTTGAACGTCTTTCTCTTGAATGGTACAGTGTCGAGGGTATGTAATCCATCCTCTAAGTGAAGTGGTTCTGATAATGTAAAGAGTCTGGGGGTTGAGTTGGCAATCTGGCTACGGTCTATTAAACCATTCTATTAAACCATTTCAGAAGTGCGATATGCAACAAACACCGTCCACTCATCTACTCGAGATTTGTTGCACATCGCACTGATACGGAATTTACCTACCGTAGCTATTTCGCCACCTATTATCGTTATGTTATCTACTAAAAGACAACTTGCACGGCCAGGAAAAGAAGGGACAGTGGTAATCGCAACGATGGACGACCTCCAAATGTGTTCGTGCTATTTGCGACGGATCACAGAACCGACTCCTCGCCTAATGATGTTGGGATTACGAGTTCTTTCAAGATATGGATCCAAAAGCTAACTTGCAACCCGCCTTCGCGCCTTCGCGGTATGAATAAAAGGGTTCGTGGAAAAAATGGCGGCAACGGCAACGGTAAGAACTGATACGGAGTGCGATATGCAACATAATACTAATACTCTGTCGGGTATATTTAAGTGAATCACGGGAAGCAGTTTGTTGCACATCGCACTGTGGATACCCAATGTTGCTGTTTGTCTATTTCCTGCTTCCTCGCTTCACCACTTCAACAAAAGACAAGAGGCTTTAGGTTACAAAAGAGGTAAAGATTGGCCATGGGAGACGAACTTACTTAGAATGCGATATGCAATGAACGTAATAAGGCCAAGTGAATTATAAGTTGATATATACTGCAAGACCACATATATTGCGTTTTTCTCTCGGTTCTAGCCGACATAAATGGCTGGATAGCGACGGATTATAGAACCAAAGGTGCGATCTGCAACAAATCTTACTTCTACTAAGCCAAAAATGGCTGGATGGCTACGGACTGGACGAAAAGTACGATAGGCAACAAAACTTACTTCTACTAAACCAAAAATGGCTGGATGACTAAGGACCGTAAACCAGACCATAAACCAGACCGTAAACCAGACCGTAAACCAGACCGTAAACCATAGCACTTCCGTCTCGCTTCTACCAAGCCAGTTAGCTAGATGGTTACGGACCGTAAACTAGACCTGTGCGAAAAGTACGATATGCAAAAAGACTCAAGTAAATCCAGGTGTGAAGCTAGTTGTTCGTTTCTACCAAGCCACTTGTTGGCTGGATGGCCACGGACCGTAAACCTGACCCGTAAAAGAAGTGCGATATGCAACAAAAAAGTGGTCCTAGATATAATGCCGTCTCGCTTCTATTTCTGTGAGCTAGTAATGGCTAGATAGCTACAGACCGTAAAATCAAATAAAAGTACGATCTGCAACAAAACTCAAGTTAACCCAGATTCGAAGCTAATTAGTGGCTCTTTACGCATAGCACTTCCGTCTCGCTTCTAACTTACCAGTAGTGGCTGGATAGCTACGGACCGTAAGCCAGACCGGTATGGAAAGCACGATATACAACAAAACTCAAGCAACTCCAGGTCTGATGCTAGTATTTGCAGCGTATAGCACTTCTGCTTCCTATCTACTAAGCTAGTAGTAATGGCTGGATGGCTACGGACTGTAGAGCCAAGTGTGCGATATGTAACAAAACTCTAGTAAACATAGATACGAAGTTAGTATTAGTTATATATAATACTTCAGTTCCTTTTCCACCCAGCCAGAACCGGTTGGATGACTACGGACTACAGAGCCAAAAGTGCGATATACGACAAACCCTAAGTAAATCCAAACGTGATACTAGCATTCGTTGCGTAGAGCATGTCTCGTTTCTGCCAAGTCAGTAATGGCTGGATGTCTACGGACATTAGAACCAAAGAGTGCGTTCTATAACAACATTCAAGTAAACCTAGATATGATACCGTCTCTCTTACCAAGCCAGTAATGGCTGGATAACTACGGGCCGTAGAACCAAAGAATGCGACCTGCAACAAAACTCAGATAGACCCAGATGCGAAGCTAGTTACTTATTGCGTATAATATATCCGGGTCGGTTCTACTCAGTAGTGGCTGGATGGCTGGGCTGGATGGATGGCTGGCTAGGCTGGATAGATGGCTGGATGGCTGGATGGCCGGCTACGGACTGTAGAGCCAAGTGTACGATATGCAACAAATCTCGAGTCAAATTAGTAAAGTGTGACTTATTATCGCTTTTAACAAGCCAGCAATGGCTGGATAGCTACGGGCTGCTGGACCAAAAGTGCGATATGCAACAGATTACGTAGGAAAGGTCTGCCGTAGGCTTCAGGTTTCTTAGCCTATAAATAAAGGGTCTAGAGTAGTTTTTCTCAAGATTCCTTCCTTCCTATTACACAAACCCTTCAGAGACCCCTCCCTACCTATATTAGGCTCGATACATAATCGAATTCGAAGCTTTTCCTTGATCTTATACCTCTTACTCTACTTCTCCTTCTTCTATCTTACGATAACGGCCCTGGAGATACTTCACGAACCCTCTCAAACCCCTCACAGCTCTCACACCTCTTAAAACGCCTTCGAGAACACAGAAATCATGGACGAATTCAGTAGTAGTAATACTACACAGCACCAAAAATCACCTTCACCTTCTCTCACTTCTCCTACCCTTCACCCCAAAGCCGATATCGAATTCTACACCAAGCCTTTCCTCTGGAATACAAGCAATTTCACCAAAGGTTTCAACATCGACACCAATCAATTCCGAGAGATAGAGGAGTGGGTTATAGATCTCTTACTTCTAGACGGTTTATACGCAAAGGAAATAGATTCAGAGGTGCAATGGAAACTCATGCAAATCGGAGAGGCTCTCACGGCTCAGTTTCCCTGCCTTACAAAGGTGGGAATCCCGGAATTCTGGTCGGTGGATGCTAGGAGGGCTTTGGTGAAAAGTACGAGGAAGGGGATGAGAATAGCGGGGGAGAAACTCGGGGCCCAGATCGAGCGGAAAAAGAAAACGGTTCGGAAGGATAAAGGGCTTTCTAAAGTACCAAAGGTACAAAAGGCACCAAAACCCCGAAAAATCAACCGATTAAAGCGTAAAACTCGAGCCGAAGACCTTGATTACAATGAGGACGACGATAGTGAGGATAGGGAGGGAAGGGAGAACGATACACCAGCTACAAAGAAGAAAAGGGTCCTCGCAAGGATGGAAAAGGCAAAAGAACACGCTGTTACACCTGTTTGTGAGGGCTTTCAAGTCTTACGACCCTATAAACAGTGTTCTTTTGTTATCAAGGTACTCGGGGCTCCGGAAATGGTTCAAAAAATCTCTCTTAAAGACCTTATCGAGCCGGAAAACCTCCCTAGGGAATTAGAGGATATCGACCCAGATTTCTTGAGTTTCGGCATTCTAATAAGTAATCTTCAACAATCCTGGCTTGTTTCCTCCCTAGGAGATCGCCTCTGCTATCGTACTCTCGGAGAAGGCACTTATCCCATTATTATAGCCTCGAATACGGATCTCAAGAATGCTGCTATCTCTTTACGTACTATCGGAGCATCCAAGTTGAATTTAGAGGTGGTACCAGCTGGAATACCTACTTTCCCTACCGTAAGTACCTAAAATCCCTCTTTTCTATGCTTAACTAACATTTCCAGCCTCCTCTACAAAACGAAACACACTTCCCTACCCAAGGACCCACGCAAAGTACCTACCACACCTCTCACGCCTCTGAAACCACCTTTCCCTACTACTTCTCACCCGAAAACAACGGAGAAAACGAGTCTACTACACAAAATCACCCTTTCCAACCTGAAATCCCCGAGTTTCTAGCTGAAATAGACTTTGATATCTTCGAAACCCCTTTTCAAGATGTACCGCCTACCTTTCCCAGTTCTGAGTATGCGCAAAATAGCGAATTTGATGTCGAAAAGTACCTCCAGGGGGCGATTCGATGGGAGGAAGAATGAATTTAGTTGTGGCCCTTCTCTTTATTTTCCTTTTGAAGATACCACAAAAAAGTAATATCTAGCATGGCTTTCCCCTTTTTTTCTCCTTACTAAGAACTTCCTTGCATGTATTTAACTATTATTATTATCTTTAATCCTATAAAGCATCTAATTCCATTTTCTATACGTGATTTCGTAGATGTAAAATGGAGTTATTACGCTTCTTATATTCTCTATACATTGGTATATCACATAACCGGCCTCCTCCTTAACACAAGTAACTAGATCCCATTTTCCTTTACTACTCTACCCCGAAAAACGCCTTAAAAACTAGATTAAAATATATTCCCTATACCCGAAGGTCACATGACCAGCCTTGTCTTGTACCCCAGATTCCATTTTCCTACAAGAATTTCATAGTAGAAACCCTCTAAAAACACTCTAGAAAGTCGAAGAAAACTCGCTTTATACGCCTATAGTTATATAACTAGCCTTCTCTTATACTCTAGACTAATACCTATTTTAATCCTTGTAGCAATCTACCTTAAAAACGCCCTAGAAATAAGAAAAAGATTCATCCCATGTACCTAAAAATCTGTCACGAATCACGTGTTCACGTGATACCTGTCATAATAAGAGGCGCAACCCTCGACAGGCACATCCAGGTTTCTTATAGCAAATAGGGATCGTTTGGAGTAGCTAAGCGATCCAGGGATTTCTCTGTATTGTTATCACGTGATATTATGAGTTCGCCAGTTAGCCGGGCGAACAGGCGAAGTTAGCAAGTTCGATTGTCGAACGAGCGAACATCGAGAGAACGAAGGTTCTATATAAGACTGGCACGTCTGCCATTAGATAGGAGCTTCGTGCTCAACTTAGTTATCATCTTATCATATTAGTTTGACATCTTTGATACAAGTAACGAGTTCACTTCCGAGTGAACAACCCGATAGCCTTCTTCTTATCATAGCATACCAACCAGCGAACACCCAGCCAAGTTTAGTTAGCCAGTTTGAGTATTCGTTACAAAATCACATGACCGACCTCCTTCTCTTCCTTCTCCTCCTCTATCTCCCTAGGTACCTACGTTCCATTTGTATCTATCCCTACAAACCTACCTCAAAAATAAAACTAAACCTACCTACCCTAAAATCTAAACTATATAGAATGAGCCCCCCCTTAACCCTAATTCCATCTCCATTTCCATCTCCCTACCTATATCTCTCCTTCTTAAACACCAAAAAACTAGATATAAACTCAAATTCATCCTATCCTATATACTATACCTAAAGTTATCTAACTAACCTCCCTATAATACCTAATATTCTTTATCCCACGGCTTCTCTTAAGTTCTTTTATAGATAGATAAGCTAATAAATTAACAAACTAGCCTTAAAAGAGTAATAGTTAATTGAATCTTATTGTAGCTAACTAGCTAGCTAGCGAGTAATTTGTACTTATTTTCTAGAGGTTCTACCCCTAAAATCTATTTCAACACATACTCTTATAAAAATAGGGTTAGTAATGTTAGATACGTTCAACAGCAGCTGTATCCCTAAGGTCCATTTCCTATTTCGACAGAGCCTCTTATAGAGGAAAGAAATTACTTAGTAAAGTTGTTTCAACATCGCCCATCCCCCTTCCCTAAAACCTATTTCGACATACCCTCTTCCTTAACCAGAATTCGCAATGTCAGGTTATTTCGACATCGCCTATACCCCCAGAAACAGAACCAGAACCTATTTCGACAGCGGTGGTTGTACTACGACATACACATTTTAGGGGAGAAGAATTAGAGAGATAGATCTAAGATAAAGCTGGGTACGAACTTGTTGTGAATTTTTGTGGAAGGGAAGGGGAGGGGTACAGAGGTGTAGAGATAGTTAGGGGGTGGTTAAGAAATGGTCAGAGGATAGCTTAGATTATATAAAAGGGTAGAGATGTAAGATAGACTTAGAAGACTACAAGTTAATAACTTACAAACATCTGAAAAGCGCCAAAGGGGTACCAATACTCCCCTTCACACTAAGAGCTCTAGACCTACAAAAAAAGGCAAAAATTACGAATTTAAAAGAAGATGCTTTTGTTCCAAGGTCCTTATATTCCCAAGGCCTCCTACGCAAACCTATAAAACTCCGGCGCATACTCCACCAACCACCCCTTCTCAATCCGACTAACATCCCTAACATACGACTTCCCCCCCATCTCCATAACCTCATGAAAAACCACCCACTCCGCCTTGCGATTAAACATCAACGAGCTGGGGTGGGCATACAACACCGTCCCCCCGGCCACATTCCGAAACGTCCCATCGGGCTGCATCCTCGCCGCATGCGCAAAATACCCCGTCGTGAGACACCGTCGGATTTGCTCCCCTTTGTCGGGTCCGCCGACGGATAGAGGCTGCAGGTTGGGGTTGGAAGAGAGAGATTCGGGGATGGGAATTCCGAAGCGTTCGAGGTAGCGTTTTAGTTGGGCGCGGATGGAGACGGCGCGTGTGAGGGCTTTGAAGTTGAGGTAGTGGTCGTGGCAGAAGCGTGCTTCTTTTTTGCCTTTGGTGATGAATGCTTGGTAGATGTTTAGGAGGGTGATGTGGTCTCCCTCCTCGACGGCGAATTTTCGTCGTGCTGTTTCCATTTTCTTCTTCTCCCCGTCGTGGGGGACCCAGATTGTGCCCCCGAGAGAGGTCATGGCTGCTATGGTTAGGATTTCGCTGACGCAGCCGAAGGTCTGTGATGAGAGGAGCGTTTTGGCCATCATGGGTTCGACTGCTAGTTCGGCCATGCGGGTTCCGAGGGGTTGGGTGAGTTTGGTGTAGGTGTCGAGGGCGCCGAGGGAGTAGAGGACTTCGAGTGCTCGAATGATCAACTCGGATGGGGGGGAGGTCAGGAAAGGAAAGCGGACTATATTGTCGATTCCTAGGGCTTTGAGCTGAAGAATCACGGGTGCCAGATTGGAACGTTGGATTTCTGGGATTGTAGATTCTGATAGTTGTTGGTAATTGGGCTCTGTGTAGAGGCGGAAGCATTTTCCTGGTCGTGTGCGACCTGCTCTACCCGCTCTTTGAGTCGCAGAAGCTTTTGAGACGGGCGTTGCGGTCAGAGTCTCGATGCCGGTAAGAGGATTGAAAGCTCGAAGTTTCACGAAACCCGTGTCAACGACATACACGATTCCGTCTATGGTAATTGACGCCTCTGCAATATTGGTGGAAAATATGACTTTTCTTGTATTCTCTGGTGCTTCTTCAAAAACATACATTTGTTGCTCTGTCGAAAGACCTGCGTAAAGAGGGAGTGCCATCAATGCCTGTGCCCGAGGATGTAAACTTGCAGCTCGTTCAGAGATCCTTTGGACAGCATTATCAATCTCTTCTCTTCCAGTGAGAAACACCAAGATATCACCATCTGGTTCCTTGGTGTGGATGTCAAAAACAGTTTGCACTGCCTTTTCCACATAATCTTCTGCTGGATTTTCAAGGTACAGAATATCGACTGGATATGTCCTTCCTTCCAAGCTAATTATTTGCCCGATCTCATTGCTGGTAGGGTTTGGCTTTTGACCTCCTTGAGCAATCAAGTCATCCAGAGTGACCGCACTTTGTGGTTCTTGCTTTAAGTTTGATTGCATCTCTGCATCACCAGCGAAAAAATTAAGGAACTCTTCAGCCTGTAAAGTTGCACTACTGATGATAATCCTAAGGTCATTTCTCCTCTTCTTTAAGATCTTTTTCAAGACTCCGAGAAGAACATCTGTGCTTAGAGAGCGTTCATGAGCTTCATCAACCATAATCACTGAATATCGTGACAATAGAGGATCCACCAGAGCTTCTCTAAGTAACAGGCCATCGGTGAGAAATTTAATGCGGGTTTTGGAGGAAGTGACATCTTCAAAACGAATTGAATAACCAACTTCTTCTCCAATCTTACAATCCATCTCTTCTGCAACTCGAATTGCAACAGTGGTTGCCGCTACTCGCCGAGGCTATGATAGAGGTTAGCGAGATTATCAGATATCAAGGAGGGGCAAAGTGAACCTGAGTGACGGCGATAATTTTCCCCTCGGCACACCATCCTGCCTGTTCAAGATATTGGGGAATCTGGGTTGTTTTTCCGGAACCCGTTTGTCCGACGACAATGGTTACCGGGTATGTCTCAATGAGGTATAGAAGACTTTGTCTATGCCTAGCAATGGGAAGCAGCGAGGATGGTTTGTGAAGGGAAGGGATGAAAGTGGCAGAAAGGTCGAATTCCGCCATGATCTCCGTCAACACATTGTGGCCGATTGCAATTTAATGCTTTACACTGATCGCCGCCACGAGATTGAGGCTCAAAAAGTGGATGATGTGACGTGCTTAGTGTCGACTGCTTCGTGTGGTTTAGGGATGGATTGGCTGGTCTTGGTGGTTTTGGGCCTTATTGCCTGAGGCAGAGGTAGTAAGGTTGGAGCTGCCGAGCTGGATGAAATAAAGTTCCATTTCCGCTTGCCCCTCGCTCACTTTGGTAGCGCGGCCAGCATCATCGTCGACCTGTCATCTTAAGCATATTTTTATAGATTTCAACATCACGATAAACGTAGTAACGGCGAATCTACAAAACCACCGCTTCTGTATGGAAAAATAAGATCTCAATTCATTCAGACCACGTTATCTGGGGATGGCATTCACAATTCACAATTCAGCTTGATATCAATCGGTAAAAGATTTACTTTACGCCAATCAAGTTTTACGAGTCGACTTTATCCATCTGGAATTGTGTCTCGCAGTTACACCGAGAGGGGCGTTTATCGCAATCTAAGCAGTGGGCCAATGATAAGGGGGCTTGGGTTGGCTGCACTTTCGGGACAACAGACCAGCAAGAAACGCCTCTCCAGCCACATGAGAAGGATGTCGTTGGCTTGATAATGGTCCAATGGTTGGATGATTGGATTCTGAGGATCCATCATTTACTCGTAAAATGTCAACATGGAGGAATTTTCTGATATATTTTGTTTCGAATTGGTGAAGCATAGGCGGAACTACCGAGGAACTCTTGGTGATCCTGCTTTGCACTGCTTTGCAGTAAGTAATCTATTTGCGTCGGAAAGAAAAAGTGGATTGACGAGACTGGTTTGGAGTTGTGTGATGTGCTTGAGTCCAGGAGAGAAGCTTCGGCGGCTTGGGGAAGTCTTAACCTGGCTCGCTTGAGGGATTGTGAGTGGTCGTTTAATCTGTACCTGCAGCCGAGGGTGGTCCGTCTAGGGTCCCTTTCCAGCAGGTCAACTTGTGCATCCTCCCACCGATTTCATAAGCCAACACCCCCTTTACGCCTCATCCTCGTTGGTGAGACTTCCCCATAATCCCATTGTGTTTTGTACAAGAGCGCCACATTGCTATCATTAGATGCTTGTGTGATCCCAAGTGACTTTGTCCGAAAGATGTGAAGGAGCCTCTACAAGTAAACTATTTACGAAGTGTCCGGGCAGACCGGGCAGACCGGGCAGAGAGACGGCGCCGCATCGCAATCGCAACATCGACCACGTCCCACTCATAACTCTGTCCGTGAGATGTGCAGTGGTTGAGGGTGTCGAGCTCCAAACATTGCCAGCTGTCGAACCCCAATTCCAATCTCGCCAGGGATGCGATGCCTGCCTTCAGGAACCAAAGCAGCTGTCAGGAATACTCGGAGCAAGTCCAGCAGCTGTCGGTGCTTGACAGCCTGTCAAGCACCGTACTTGAGTACCCGTACCGTCGAGTGATCAGGAGTGCCCTGAAGCCGAAGCTGATTGTCGCCGCCGTGTTGAATTGCAGCTCCAGCACCTCCAGGACGCTCCCTGTTTCGGCCCCTGACAAAATAACGGGCAACATCGCGCTAGCGCCCAATTGGGACTACTGCGACTGCCCACAGCCAATCTCCAGCGAGCCCCATTTCCGAGCCCCGCTGTAATCCTGCGGGCTGCAGCAGGCTTGCCAGGCTCACCACCCTCTTTTGAACGTCTTACTTCGTACCTTCTCTCCAGCTTCCCAGCGATCCTCTCTGCTGTTCTGCCGTTACCGCAAGCTCAACACCATCGTCAATTCTCTGTCTCTTCAGGCTCTCCCAAGCCTGCCAGTCGGGCTGCCATTCCTTTAGCTCTGCAATCGCTTCTACACACTCCTTATCCAGCTTCACCGGCCCCCTTGCCATTTTCTTCCTCACCCATAGTCATTCTTTCGAGTCGAATATCTGCAGTAATTGTCGTTGCTTGTTTGCTACACAGTTGACCTTTGCCCGCTTAGCATTGCCGTGCCTGTGCCTGTTTCAATTCCATCGCATCTTCTGTAAAGGACGAACGCCATCTGAAACCACTCACAATCCGAACTATCAGACGAATCGAATCGAGACCTTGACTGGTTACTTCCCTTCACACCAACCCAGCTACCAGTCGTATCGTCGCCATTTTTTCTGATCGCCGCCACGACAAGTCAGACGCTGCCAATTCTTCGAAACGAGTCTCAACCCACGAGCCAGACCGCAGACACCCTTTTGGCGAAGGGTATAGGCTGCGACCGCCGCCATCATGGAGAATAGAGGAGCAGATTATGTGCCGCGGTTAGGACCACGGATTCCACCACGACACTTGCTGGGAGAAATGGATTCTTCTTCAGTGGTCGACTTCAAAACACCCAGCCGTGTGGTAGAACCACGAGCAGCAGATTCAACGACCGCCAATGGCGTCGAAATGTGCGGAGCAAACCCTTGTGAGAAAGGTACAAGCACGTCGTCTTACACAATACCCATTGTATTGGGAGCAGTGTAAGTCATCTAAAGTCGGCTTACCCATCTCACATATTGACTCTGTAATTAGTATCCCAGTAGTTGGCGCGATCATTTTGTTTGTGCTTCTTCAACGTAGACATGTTAAAAAACAGCGGGAAGAGGATGCCAACGACAGGCATGCATCTTTAGATTTTGGATTGGGCGATGTGCCAAAGGCAGCACCGGGGATGAACGAGAAATCTACCGGCGTATCTCGTCGTCAAGTCTCGATGGACCTGGGTCTCGAAAGCCCTTATGTTCTTCCTCCAGAGCTGCAACAGAGTCGGGAGTCTCTTCACTCTCTTTCCCGGACTGTCCACCAAAAAGAGGACCCGTACCGCTCTGTCTCCGCCTATTACGGAGGTGATGCTCGATCAATTCATTCCAATTCAAAGGGAGGCTCATCAATTTACACCGGTTCGAGTACACCATCAAGAATGCAAGAGCTGTCCACTGCTGATCTGCTTGGAAACGCTGCTTCTATGCCACGGAGCCCCGGACTAAGGAGCCCTGGACCAGCATTTGTACCACCACCGCGCCAAAATTCTCTGCCTCCAAACCATATGCCAGCTCCTGTTTCTCCTATACCAGCCATTCCAAACACCCCGAGAACTGCTGCACCACCACCTGCAATCAACACCAATGTCGGACATCTCGGCTCGCCGGACGCTAACGCAAGAAAGGGGTTACCAGCCAGTCCTCACGCAGGTCGGGCAATGACACCTACACAAATTAACACTCCAATGCCAACCTCCGTTGTTATCGAAGACGTCCGTGATTCTTATTCCAGTAGGCAAAGCAATAACTATCTTGGTGATATGATTGATTCGGCCCCCGCGCCTCCTCAAAACGGTCTTGGTCGCCCACAAATGCCTAACGCAGCCCTGCCTGCCAGCCCACGACCACCTCGTAAAGATTCCAAGGCCGGTCCTCCAGGTACCGGTCCTGCAGGTGGTGAGGAACTTGGTGACGGAATCATGGTTACACCGCCATCGCCTGGCCGTGCAAGCAAGGCTGAGGTCATGCGCGGCCAGCGATACTCTATGGATGTCCCACCAGAGGAGTTTGCCCAAGCTGGTTTGGGTGCCCCGGGATTTGATGCAAAGCGTTTATCCATGGGTTTCCGACCACTTCCTCCAAATGCCGCTACAGAATCAGATGACCCAGAAATTCGTGCCAACAGAATTCGATCGTTTTACAAAGAGTACTTTGACGACTCAAAGCCAGCTCCAGAAGGTGAATACATTGATGACTATGAAGAGAATTATCTGGGGGATGCCGCCTATTATGATCCGGACAGCAATTCATTTATTATGCCATATGCCGAACCAGTTGCCAGACGTGCCATGACACCGCCTCCAGGAGGACGAAAGTTCATGGGTCAAGGACCACCTCGCCCCCGAAACGGTTCGATGGGTGGAGTGAGTCTCGGTGGTGGTCGACCAGGCGGGCCACAATTCAGAGGAGTCCCAGGACCTCGAGCACATTCTTCTGCGTCCGGACGTATGGGTCCACCTGGACAGCAACGAGGTAGAAAACCAATGCCACCTCCAGCAGCCCTTAATACCATGCCAAATCCATCTAAACTTCGAGATGATTCATTCGCCTTGATGCAATCGATGGATTTCGCTCCACCAACATCAATCCGTGAGCGACAGCAAGGTCGATCCCAAAGTCCATTCGGAGAGAGGCGAGCATACTCCCCAACTGTTCGGGCTTACACTCCAACTGCCAGCGCTTTTGAAGAGCTTGCTCCTATGCCCAGCCCGTAAGTACTCAATCATTCACCACACAGCCCATATCATGCTAACTTTCAACCTAGACATTTGCTTAGAAGATCTGGAACCTTTACCGCTCTGGACTTTGCTCCTCCAAAGAGAATCAGAGACCCTGAAAACATGAGCGATGCTGGTAGTATTCGAAGCAACAAGAGCGGAATCTCTCAAAGTCAGCTCAGTGCTATCCGTAAAGGAGCTTATCGTGCCAGTCGTATCCCCAAGGAAGCCGTTACCACCAAGGACGATTTTGTTAACCAGTTAAAACCTACATGGGGTATGCGAGCCGACAAATAGTTGGACCAACATAATGTTTTTTCGTCACGTTGACCCTCAATTTTCCGGGCCTCGTATTATCGGCATTTTGAGCGCGCATTTATTTTGAATTTCTTTCTCGCGACCTACCATTGGCATATTTTCTTTATGATGACCACCCCGCGACAAATCCACTGGATCATATTGTCGAAAGAGGAAATGACTGTGCAATTGTGTTTTGATCTCCCCCAAATTCTTCCAGCCTCCAGTATTTCTAATAATTTACTGGTAATGTCTTTATTTTTTTCGTGTAATAGATTGGAGATGGGAGCAATTACTTATTTTTGGGAAAGGGCGCAGACCAGTTTCCTTGGGCGCACAGATAATTTCTTTCACATATGGGTTTTGAGGAGGTTGTGGTTTAGGGGAGAGGGGAAGGAGGGAGGGTTGAGTGATATAAGGAGGGTGTTTGATAAGGGAAGATGTGGAGGAAATTGCACATAGATGGCGGGGGGCATTTTTTTGGGAGTGGGAGGGAGGTTTTGTGTTTAAAAGATTCCTTATTTATTTACTTTGGAGAGAGAAAGAAAGAAAGAAAAAGAAAAAGTCGCAACTGGATATCTTCTTCCTTTGAATTGTTTAATTTTTTTTCTTTTCTTCTTTTCTTTGGAAGAGAAGTATTCGGGTGTGGTTGCTGTTGTTATTTTTTTTGTGTATAACATATTGTAAGAATTCTTTTCATATGGAATGGAGATCATGGACTTTATGATGATTTCTTTAATTGTGGTGGTTTTGGTTTTTGGGTAGGGGTAGGGGTATCCCTTAGTCCGTAAATCACTCAGCGCCAAGGCTTGGCCTCAACGTCAGGTCTCGAATACGCACAGTTCCATCAGTACTAGTCACGCGTCGAGTTACAGCTGTTTATCAAACCACCTACAGAAACGTCGTAAATCTATGATTTACTATTAGAAATAGTATAGCTTAAATTAATGTCTTCTGCTAGTTCAATAATTGTATAGTTTTAGTGGTTTCTATGTAAGTATATATATGCCATTAGTCACGAGACGAGGCGTTTTGATACTTGGCACGTCCTAATTAGGTATAGCGGTGCTACGGCTCGCTTAAAGCCCCGTACCAAGCCTGGGCGCTGAGTGATTTACGGACTAAGGGATAGTGTGGTGTATGAATGGATTAGAGTGGATACTTATTGTTTATACATATAATAAATTAATAATGAATGAATGGACTGGTCTAGATTCTAATACGTCATGTCTTTCGGGGGTCTTGTGCTTGTGCTTGTGTATGTGTATGTGCTTGCGGTAGCTTGTACATGTGTATGTACTTCGATATATGTAGGGTAGGTAGGTACCGCTTCCCGGCTTGCCGCTTCCGAGTTGTCGTTATTGGGGGCTCGTGGGTTCGTGGGTTCGTGAGTGCGTGGTTCGTGGTTGGTGGGTTTATAAAATTATGGCGTGATGTGAAACGGGGGGGTGAGAGTGGAGGATTTGGGGGAAGGGGGAGGGGAAGGATGAAGGGGGAGATTTGAAACGTCTACCTTGGGGTGAGATTATGGATTGTGGATTGGAGAGATTGTTTTGGAGATTGGGGTGGGGTTTCGTGGGTCGAGGGGTGGGTGGTAGGTAGGTGATTGGAGGGGGGTTGTTTTGCTGGTTTGTGGGATGGGATGAGGTGGGATGGGATGAAGTAGTAGGGTGAGTGAGGGGGATATGGGTGTATGGGGAGGTTGGTGAGTGTGTGAGTGAGTTGTTTACGAGATAAGTAATTGGTACACAATACACTAGTCGAATAGACGGACGAATAAACGTTTGGGGGTAGAAATTAGTGACCCGTTGTTTCGGATGACGGAATTGGATGCCATGGGTGAAGCGAAGTGAAGGAGTGAAAGGGGAGATTACGTGGCTGAAGGAAGATGGGAACTTCGGAAGCGAGAGTGAGTTTGTTAGTGACTAAGGGATTTCGTATAGTATTCGTACTTTACCTACTTCGAACTTAAGTCATATAAAGGAAGGCTTTACGAGGTATGAGGGTTTGAGGATAAGAGTTTTAGGATAGATTATGCAGGATTATATACAGTACTATAGGTTTATAGAGGAGGAGTAGGTGTAGGTGTTTAGAATTGTTAGTGTTTGTGAGTAGTTTAACTAACGACACGGACGGTAATAGATAGCGAAATCTTAGGGATAAGTAGGTTTATTGGATGGAGGAATTTTGTTGGTTATTGTATTTCTATGTCTTAGTATTGTTGATTTACCATTTTGTATCTGGGCTAGGGTGTTGATAGTATTATTACAGTTATACTAAAGGTTAGTAGGTAAGTAAGGAAGAAATGGTAAAACAGCTACAGTAGAGTGCTAGAATACGATGTATAATAAAACCTAAGTAGAAGGTAAGGAATAGCTAATACTTGTGTTTATTTGTCGTATATCGCACTTCGTATCCTACCATTGCTGTTGGGCCATTTTTCGCTTCTAGGCAGTTAGCACTTTATGAGGTAACATGCTAGAAATAGTATAACCGCTACGGCGCTACCGCACCAAAAGCCCGTGTTAAGGAGGGCGAGATGTTATAAATACTCGAGGATAGTTAAGTGAATAAGAGGTAGGTAGAGATTTTGTTGTATATTGTACTCCTATCATTGCCGTTTTGCCATTTTCGCTTCTGGAAAGTAAGCACTCTCTAATTTCGTAAGGTGGAAATGGCTAAACAGCTACCGTTAGCAAGTCCATATCCGTGCGATCTATAACAAACACTAGTATCAACTCAACTATCCTTCACGCCTCTATCTACTTAAGTTTTATTATATATCGTATTTCGTATCGTTGCTATTTTGCCCTTTCTTTTTGGGATCGATCAGGTAGTAAGCTAGATACTGTGACCGTGTGGAGTGAACCACTGCTTGCTGTGATGAATACGGAGTCAAACGGAAACTGCTATATAGAGCGAACAACTAAGTGAGGAAGGAAGAGAGTTTCAGAGGAACAGAAGCTTATATACAGGCTGCCAGCAGCACGCACGTGCCGTGCTGCTACACGTGATCTGCCCCCAATTCCTCCAACTCCGTAACAGATACTACAAGCGAAGCACCGAACACTATTACAGTGATCAAAAGTGATATGTGATTTATAGCAACGTACACTTCTGTAACGAATACTCAAACTGGCTAACTAAACTTGGCTGGGTGTTCGCTGGTTGGTATGCTATGATAAGAAGAAGACTATCGGGTTGTTCACTTGGAAGTGAACTCGTTACTTGTATCAAAGATGTCAAACTAATATGATAAGATTGATAACTAAGTTGAGCACGAAGCTCCTATCTAATGGCAGACGTGCCAGTCTTATATAGAACCTTCGTTCCCAATATATCGCTACCATCGCTATCGATAAAATCGATCATCGCTTTTATCGATTTCGATCAAGTCGATATAGTCACGTGATTTCTGGTCGCTGAGAAATTCCTTGGATCGTCTGGCTAGCCTGATGCAGCCACCCGATTCTTTCTTTTGGTTAAATACCAATGGGTTCTCCTGTCAGCGAAGTGCTGTCTGGGCCCATGGTCCCAAATGTCACCTGACGATTTCGTAATCGTGACACTCGAACGCGTATAGCTTCTACTACTTCTACCACTACTACTACTCCTTCTCTCTTATATTTAATATACCCCGTATAGGATAGAGGAAAACAATCCTTTAATATAGAATAATAAGGTTAAAAAGAGCGCTAGAAAGGTTATTAAAAGGCCCCTTAGATAACTACTAACGCTACTACTACGCCTATACTACGATAGGCCTCTCGCACCCTCTACTAAAGTATTAGTTTAATACTTAGCACGTCCTAATTAGGTATAGCGGCGCTACGGCTCGCTTGAAGCCTTGTACTAAGCCTGGGCGCTAAGTGATTTACGGTCTAAGGGATACAATATAGGGGCTCTCGCTTAGCTAGTATATACTCCCTCGAGTACTCTCCGAGGACTCGGTCCGCTAGTTCGAGGCTTCGGCCTTATATAGTTAATTAAGAGATTAATAGTAATTAGAAGTTACTACTGATTAGATTAACTTAGACTATATTACGACATAGCCTTAGCTAGCCGAGACTCCTGTCTCTATTACCTAGTCCCTGCCTCGGTTGCCTAGGTAGATGCCTAGTATCCTAGTAGCTTCTACTCGGTTAGGGTTGTCTCATAAAGGCTCCCTGCTCCCTTTGCTAGCTCTCCACTCCTTATTCTACTTTTTAAAGCTTATTCTAACAGTCTCCTGTTTTGTCCCTAATAGACTAGGTAGGAACGTAAAGCTCCCCCTTACTAGCCTAGACTACGAATATTATAATAAAGAGTCTCTCTATTACCCAGCGATTCAAATATCCTTCTGTAGATATTGTTGCTAGAATTCTACAAACCAGTGGTTTCCACCGCACGGAACCTACATATATTAGAACAGGAGTATACAACAAAGGAGGGGCATATGCCAGGGCCATATGTAAGCCAGGCTCCTGCCCACAGTACTTAGGCCCCTAGTCATCTGAATACAACTCTTCTGACACCCTGGCCTTCCATATTCTTAGCAACAGTTATTTATTGTATTAGTCTTTCTATTAGCTGATCCCTAGGTATTCACTTAAATCTGTAAATTCATCTATTCCATTCACTTTAAAACCGCCCCTAGATCCTGCATTTTCATTAGTTAGAATAGCCTCTGGAATTCTATATAACTCCTAGAATTTCAGAGACCAATCGATAGAAGTATTCCATCCTATTTCAAAGGTGCTCTAGAAGTATTCCATATAGAATATTCCATCTGGCATTCCATGGAATATGGTTCCATCTGCCGAGCGTTGAGCTGTATAGATGGGATAGACTTCGTTCAGAACGGCTCTTAACACCGCGATTTCGTCAAGTCGGCTTGGTATCCCCTATAACCGGGTGAGATAGAGTCGGTCACGTTCTATATAACTATTCTAGTATTACTCGAATAGTTAAACCTACTGCTTGTGTTACGACACGAGCTCTCGGCTCGACTATCTGGCACTAGCATATTCCATGGAAGACGCTAGTCCTATTCTGGACGCTTCCATGCCGACAGACAGGTCGTATATTAGAGCCGCTCCGCTCCCCCTCAGCTAGCTTCTCTCCTTAGTCCACCTTTTACAGCTTATTCTGACAGTCTCCTGTTTTGTCCCTGACAACTGAACTTAATTTAACGGAATCACCTAATTATACCCATTTGACTTATCCCGAATAGTACTCGAGTTGAGTTAAATTAAGTAGTTGAGTGGTTTTGTTAACACGCTAGTTGATATATTCTTGTTGTGCTGGGTCTACTTTCTCTTTTGCTCCACTTCCTTATTTGATCCACTTATAGTTCTGCTGCCTAAATGCTTCATGTCTGCCT